CTCAATCGTGTCGCCAATGAGCTCTCATGTGGCCCAGGGAGAGTGAAGTCTCCATCCCTAGGCGGTCTAGTTGATTTCGGAGCAGTTCGGGGCCACTCAGATAATCTGTTCGTCCCATTGCCAGTTGTTTTAACCTCGGCACGGATGCACTGGCACATAGCTGGCCTCCTCTGTGCATGCTCTTTGAGGTGAACCCAGGGTGGACCCCATGCATAAAGCTCCATTATATGAATGACAGACAGGAACGGTTTGTGGAAACAAAGACACCTACATCTTGGATGCCCTTGAGGGAAGCTAAAACATATAAAAAATTAATTTCAAAGTGAACTATCCCTTTAACTCACAAACAAAATGCCATATTGAGCAGATTCTGACTAACTTGAACACCTCTGATTGGCCTTTGCATTCACACACTCTTCAAACATGTTTTTGATTGGCTGCAATGCTCAACGCTACAAAAACACGTAAATAGAAACCTTTGATGCACTTCACAGAGAAAAAGCAGCGTCTATCAGCGGGTACTGTCCCAGTACTCTATACTACCGGTACTGCAGCAAGACTGGTAATGGTATGTTTTTAAAATTGAAATACAGACTTAGTACCATTACCTTTGACAACCCAATAGTCTTTGATCTCAAAAGATTCAGACTAAATTGATTCCTTTTGACCCATTTAATATCTAACTTCAATTTTATAGGGGAGACCCCTTAGCCCTTGGAGTCCCAGAGATCGAACCTACCACTGTATTGCTTGCAGCACAGGCTGTCACAACTGTCTTGTGCTTTTACAGTTCTTGCAAGGAAAATTCAGTTTGTTGAATTACAAAGCATGAATTAACACATTCTGTAAAATTGCAAAGCTGTGCATTATTAATACAGTATTACACATTTATTGTCTGTACAACGAAACACGCAGTTTGACTTGATTAAATGCCTCCTCCTCCTGTCTTGTTGTCTATAAGTGATCTGTGATCTGAGAGCAAGTGTCTCTCACACTCTGTACAGTGTTGTTGGAGGAGAGGTGGCTGGTATTTGAGTGTTGTAATCCATGTGGGGAGGGTCGGGTCTGTGCCTGACAGCTGGGGATTCTGCTGCTGATTTACTTTAGATTAGTTTGGAGCTCAGCCAGCACTGTTCAATCACAGCATAATGCTTTTTCATTGTAAGAGTGCTGCCCCTCTTGCCCCTCTCTGCCCTGCACACACCATGCCATCTCTTTACCAACACCACTGCCACCATTGTGTCATGCGTGTGCTTTTTTGTTTTCAAATTAAAATTGTAGTGACCGTTTTTCAGTTAGTAAACATGGAGATGTTGGTTTGTATTAGCTGCCTCCAGTTGTCCGTTTGCTTTGCCTCCAGCTAAGGCTGTGACGTAATTGTGACGTCGGCGCAAAATGGGTCTATATAATTAGCCATGTGCATTGAGAGTCAGACATTAACCAGGGCTCTGGGTCAAAATTGCTTTTAAAAAATTTGCCATAACAAAATGAACTAAACTGAGAATGAAAACAGAACATTTTAAAATAAAGTTAATTTAATTAAAAAATAAAATAAAATGAAGCTTTGGAAACACAATGTGAAGTAAACAATCAAAACCAAAATGTGCCGTGATGATATACCATAGAACTGAGGAAGGTTAAATAACTTAATATAACTGCTACTTTTGAGTTTGATGCCGATTCGATTTTATACAGCAGGTAGTACGGCTGTAATTGTTATTTTACTTAATTGATTCATTTAAAGTTTGTTATTAATGGGTAACACATTTTATGGGTATATGTATAGGCAGAAAAAGACTTGAAGGTAAAAATGGACTGAAAAGTCAATTCCGGGGGACAAATATTGCATGTCTGACTCATACAGAGTGATGAAGGGTCTCAATAAAGATGATTGAGCATTTAAATTAGATGGGTTGAGGGTTTTATCACCCCCGTCTTGTCATAGATGTGGAGATGGTGTCTGCTATGTGTGTGAATGTTACTTTTCACTTTTTTGTATGCTATTAAAATGTTAGAAAAAAGTGTTGATTTGTTTAGTTTCCAGTACAGCAAAATCATGTGCATTTTGATTTTGAGTTTAGATTTATTAAATAAGTTAGTTGAGTGACAAAGTAAAAGAAGAAAGAAACGGAAACTAGGACAGGAGTTCTGGTAGCAGGTGGCACATTTGAACATTTCGTTTTCCGACTATAACCACAGAGCGTGTTTGTTTGGCAAGGACATTAACAGCAGAAGGCTGTGTGTGTGCGTAAGCTTGTGCGTGTATATGTTTGCGTCTCTGTGTGTGTGTGTGTGTGCTTGAGCTGTGTAAGATCACTTGTTTGGCCTTGCATCCGCAGGATCAATGGTAGTCTTCACTGAGTAAAGTTATGCAGTGAGCTGGGGAATTTTTTAACATATCCCCAATGGTGCTGGGCGGCTGCCTGGATAAATATAGATGTGTTGATGCGTGTCTCTCCCTCGCTTACTCTCTCGCTCAACCTCCCAAGCTTTTAATCAAAAGCAATCTGGAGGAGGGAAGTGGAAAAAGGGAGAAAAAATTTGGAATGTGCCAAGATCTTTCGTGTTCCTCGCTCCTGATCCTCTTGCTAAAGGAATCAGCAGGCTGGTTTTCTGTGTGTGGAGGAGGGTGATGGATAGCGCTGCTCATGTTTGCATGTAGCACGACCCGACTCTCCGTGCTTTTCCCCACAGTTCCTGTGAATCTTCCCACAGTGACCACGGTCAGTGCCTTTGCTCTGTGGGCATGTGATTACATCCCACGGTCCATGCAATTTCAAGTTTCAACCTCTTGTTTCAACAACACCCACCTTCTGTCAGCTAACATTAGTACCTTATATGCATTGTTTGTCTTTACATTTATCCCTGCTAGCACAACAGTTTCCTTCTGTCTCGTTTTTTTCAGTTCACACCTCCTCCTGCCTACATTATTCCTTATAGCGAGCTGCCGTTTTGTCTGTCAGACCTGAGTCACGTATCACAGGGTTTCAGTCTCTGCCGGATTAGCTCTTTTTTAACGCCTCAGCTTTTATTTTTGGTCTTTACATGATTAAGAACTGTTAACTGACCACCTTGGCAATATGCTTTCATCTGTAGCTCTGTCAGTGAAGACATATTTTATGGGAATTTACGGTTACATGCAGAACTTTCGGTTTAATTAAAAAACGGAGGCCCATTTGTTAACATTATCTAACTAAATTAGTTACATGAGCTAACAATTAAACTGACTTTAGCTGTCCGACAATCTTCTGCCAACAATGAAGAAATATTTACATTTCTTATTCTATTAAACTAAACAGTACAAAAGCATGTAGCGAGATCAAATGTTTAGGTGACTTTGATTTGTGAGCCTCAAATAGAGAGACAAATCAAGTATGGATATAATGAGTTTAATAAATGATATATTCAGAATAAAGAAAAGTATAGAAAAAGAGTGAGAAGAAGAGCAAAGAATGGCAAGCTTTACAATCAGTTAACGACAACCTAATGAGAGCCAAAAGAGAATTAAAATCAACTTCTTAAAAGGGATTAAAGCTTAGAGACGCATCTAAAGATTAATAAAATGATCACTTGTATTGGCTTTGGTGCTGAACTAGGGTCCTTATTCTGTAAAATATGGATATTCCTCATTAGTTCATTAGGAGTGAGCTAAAGCGTTTGTTGAATTCTTCCAGAGATCGGTTGTCCTCAAGAAGTTTGAACGAATTTAACTTGGAAGTAAGTTGCTGAAATAAGTCAGAAAGTGTCCATCTCACAAGAGAATGAACCGGCACTGTTAGTCACACCCATCTTCGGTGAAGTAGCCAATCAGAGGTGCGAGTTTTGAGTGAGAGTTACAGTAGGCCTACTTTGTTCTCCCTTAATACTTTATTTGCATGTTTATTTTGGTCTGGAGAATTTTTGTATCACTATACCAAAGTATAGTGAAAATAGTATAACGCAATTTATGGAAACATATTATATAGGGATACTTCAGGATTTAGCATTAAGCTTTGTATTAGTAGACAATTTGTAGTATTTTTGAATTACCATGCTTTCCACCCTCATATCCCCCTGAGACAAGAGATTTATGCATTTTTGTCTGGAAAAAATCCTCAGATGGCGCAAAAATCGCCATTTTGCAATTTACATCAATCTGAGGATTTTTTTGGAGGATCGCAAAAGCCGAATCCCAGACGTTTTGGGCGATCTCGAAACACATTTTTGGGCAGACTCATCACGGAGACTCACTAGTAGCCTAGACTTGTTGTTTAACTACTGCACTCTGTAACCCGTAGGCGTGGCCTCCTAGGACAGCGAAGCAAGTGCATTCTGGGAGTTGTTGTCTTTCATCCACATAAGCCAAAAATAAATTTTCTGTTTTTTTATCAGTCTAGAAAGGTCCAAATTCAAAAATGATTTCACATTACATAAATGACCCATTATAAATACACATTCATCAGAGGTGAAGTATCCCTTCAACCCAAGGCATGAGGAGAGGGATCATTTTCATACCTGCCTGGTTTGGGACAACATTAAAGCTGTGATACATTCACAAATCTGAAAACAAGCATTTGAAGTTACCCTAACAAAACTGAAGAATCGTAATTAGGCGAATATAGTATGATTATTGGCATTGTGCATTCGAAGTGTCCTCGGTGCCTGCCTGGTCATGGGGGAATCACCCTCTCTCCTCCCTGGAATGCTTTTGGTGAAGCTTGAGGAGAAAGTTGGGAACTGTTTTGTTTAATGTTATCACTGCCCAAAAAAGGTGATAACGGCTTCCAATGGATTTGTTTGGAAGTGTTGTTTTTTAGAAACCATATGAAGCCAAAGTGTTTTTTTTAAAGGATTTGTCCTTTTCTTTATCATAGACATAACTGATGTCATTGACCCAGAATCATGCATGAATGTGCCATCCTTAATTTGTCTGTCTTTTTTCCACTAGCATTATATTTTAAACAATTTGTTGCCAACCACCCTCACACAGCGTTTGAAAAGTGATATTTCTTCTACCCCAGGTAATGTGGGTATGTAACCAGTGCCGAAAGCAACAGGATATACTCACTAAATCAGGAGAATGGTTTCCCAGCCATGGGCCCAAACCTGGAGAGCTGGGGTCTGCAGTGAGTGAACCAGCCATGTGTGGAGACCCCGTTGGAGAGAAGAGGATGCGCTCTAGGTCTCAGAACCCTCTCGACTCCTCCGTTTCTACTGCCCACAACACCCAGTCACCTGCCCTAAACGACCCCAGAAAAGGCCCCTCTACAGGGTTAGCCGACACACCATCATCACGCTCACGCAGTGAGCCTCCACAAGATAGGTACACTTTAACCTCTCTCTCAATGCAAAATCTAGAATATCCTAGTTAATATATATATATATATATAACAAAAGTTTTATTTAACGCTTTTTTTATTTAAAGCTGAATTTAAGGAGTGCAACTGTCTGAATCTCTGATGCTGTGTGATTATCTGACCTCTAGAAAAAAGCCACCAGCAGCCTCTGATCAGAATGGCAAGTCAGGGCCAAGAGGAGAGAGGCGGCGAGGGCTATCCAAAATCCACTCCCAGGGTTCCGAAGAGCGAGAGTCCGGAGAAAATCGGAGAGAAAGTCGAAGACTGATGAAGACTCGCTCTCAGGAGCATGACAGTCCTGAAACTAGGAGGACTGAGGGGGAGCAGAAACCACCCAGGGAACAGTGCAGGAGTGACCCAAATGCTCCACATCAAGCGCCCAAACTCCGGCCTGCGGAGCCTGATGGACGTATGCATCCTAAGGTGAGGGAAGGGGGGGAGATGGTGCAGGACAACAGAGGTGCACGGAGATGGGCAGATGGGCGGCAGACCTCGCTGGAGGGCCAGCAACAGGCCTACGTTCCAGAGAGGACAGCGGGGGGTACAGGTTTGCAGGGTGCACCGGCTGTGCAGGGTCCTCCTGCTAAAACGAACCACACCCCACAGCCGCCAGCTCCGGGGTTCAGGGTGGGTCCTGCCATACCCGCAGGTCCCCCTGAACTTAGGGAGCCTCAGGAATGGGACAGGAAGTTGCAGCCGAGCCACCTGGACCCTGGCTCGGCTGCACTACTGCGCAAATCGAAACGTCAAAAAGAGAGCATGCTGCGCAACGATTCGCTCAGCTCTGACCAATCGGAATCTCTACGACCGCCCCCGCCCCGCCCGTACAAGAGCAAACGGGGTGGCAACAAGAGACAGATGTCCGTCAGCAGCTCTGAGGAAGAGGGCGGTTCAACACCGGAGTACACCAGCTGTGAAGATGTCGAGATCGAGAGCGTCAGCGAAAGAGGTTGGTCAGGTGGATACCTGCTTTTATACACTTTGCATAAACACACTCCTCCATAAATCGGAAAAGGAAACCAGCATCAATATGAATGTAATATTTGATTTCATTTAATTTGTTAGTTTTTGCAATTTTGCAAGCATATGGATTAACGATAACTTTATAAATTTGGTCGTTTTTGCAATGCGCACAAATGCAAGCAAATGGATTAACGATGACTATCAAGTGGTTGCATAACTTAATTTCGCTTCCTTTGTGCGCTAACGCCAGGGTTGTCAATCCGTAAAGGTCCGTTGAGGGCGTATACTTTATGGATCACAAAAAAATATTTGACATTAAATATATACAGTACTATTCAAAAGTTGGGGGTTGGTAAGATTTTTTTAAATGCTTCTGAAATCATTCTAATATGCTGATTTGGTGCCTATGAAATATTTCTCAATATTTAGATTATTCTTATTATTATTAAAAACATTATTGAAAACAGTTGTGCTGCTTAATAGTTTTTTTTTTGTTTCAGAATTGAATAGAAAGTTCAAAAGACCAGCAGTTATCTTTTCAAACATTGTAATTATCATAAATGTCACTTTGTGCAATTAAATGGATCCTTTCTGAATGAAAGTAATAATTTTATTAAATAAAATATTACTGACAGACCAAATTAAACAAATGGTAGTGTATTGTTAAATAATACAATAATAAAGTAATTAATAAACTAATATAATATATAAAAAAAACTGCTTATTTGTATTTCTCTATTTTATTTTTAATGTGGTGCACTGCATACAAACTTCATGAATGTACTAATAAATGACATATCCAAGTTTCAAAAACAGTATTATACCGTGTATTGACAATGTAAATGTTGAAGCTCATTCACATGGCACTGTTTTGTTAGCCTGGCAAACTGACTAAACACAGACTTAAAAGGTCAGTGTAAAATGCAATCCAGGGGGGAAATGTAAACATTGTGGGGTGAATAGGGAAGACAGACTATGTTAGAAGGAATGAGAGACTAAAAATAGGAGAACAGGAGATTAAGAGGAGGTTGAGCAGAACATAAGCTTGCTCTTATCAGTGGAACAACATTTTATCAGGTTCAACAATCTCACAGAAACAACAGGTAAGAGAATCGACTCTTTCTCCTAAAGAATAGGAATAGAACAATTCAAGTTGACACCTCAAACTTTTGTTGTATTGAACTTTATTTAATTCTGATATATTGGTTGTTAAAGGCCAAAGAATGGATTTATAATTTCAATTTTAAACTTAAAATGTATTTTTTGTGATTACTCATCTTTGGCATCTTTATCTACAGTACAAGAGATTGATTATTATTAAAACTATCTTTGTCTTCGACATCCCCCACCCCCCATTCAGTCTTAATATACAAAAATATGAATTGCTTTTAATAAATATACAATCAAGATTCAAAGTTTCAAAAATTTACATTATTATTTATGTATTTTGGCAACATAAATGTTAACTATCAAATACGTTTTTTTTTTGGTTTTTTTTTCATCACTGTCATAATCATCATCATATAACACTTTTAAACACAATACATTTTTGAGATGTGGTGGAAATGACACCGTGGAGTAAATGTATTTTTTATTTTTATGTGATGTGTGTATGTCTACTGTTAGGCAGTGTTAAAGGACAAATTAAATTAAATACACCATAAGTGCCTAAAGGTGAGAAAACGCCCATCTATCATCTAGAGTAGCATAGTTGTGTAACAATGCATACAGCATGTTTCAATAGTGGAAGTATTTATTTATAAAACGTTTATTTGCTAAGTAGGTCATGTGAATTACTGCAGAAGTAATGAGAAGTGGAGACACTTCAGCACAAGGCTTCGATAAAAGCCCACACAGGGGACCAATCCAGCATACAACAAGCAATATTAAACATTTATACCTCGAGACATCTACTTAATATTACTGCATGCAGACCTGTGGAATTTGGTTTTGATTTATACATATTGCTTTTGTAAGTTGTTCATTGCTTTTTTTGCTGAAAACGTGTGTTATGTTTTAGTTAGTTATCAGGATTGATAGTTCAATTTAGCTGCTTTCCAGAGCTTAACATTTTTATTTAGAGTAACTTTTATAGGACAATCCTGCTCAGAACTGGGTTAGACATGAAGAAGCAGCCTTCTTTAAAAAAGTAACCTATGAAGATTCCCTGGCATACTTGAAAGAAATCTATCCAGGTCTAAAGTGTTTTTTCTTTTGTTTTATTTACCCCTGGACCTTTTTTAATCAGATACTTCAGCTGAAGATATTTTATAAAATTAATAGTTTTTAAAAATCTGATCGGATTAACCATGTTCAAAGTACTTGTAAAATAACGATATCTGTTTATGTAAATCTCTATATGTCACGGGTGTGGTGCTGGCCAAAGAAGAACAATTGGCTTAGAGTTCCAATTCACACGATTTACTAAATATAATTCACACAGCTACAGGCAGGCACAAACACACTCAAAATAAGACTAACTACAGACAAAGGACTGACTGTATTTTAGAGAAACGGATATTTTTCCCCTCTCCGTTTTCAATAATAACATTGTGCACCCACCCGCATAAATACGCCGTCGAGCGCCATCATATCTATAGCAAACCTATGGGCGGCAGTGTAGGGAAAAGGATAAAACCATGCAAGCCAATCAGAATCCTCAGAATCGACAAGAGAGAACCTAAAACGCCGTTTCTCCCAGTTGACAAAACAACACATAACCAGCGTTTTCAGACATCTCCACTTTGGTTTTTAGAAATAATCATTTTCTGTGATAAAAACTGGGTTTTTGTGTAAATGAGAGGCCAAACCGCTGGGAAATATCTTCATTTTCCCTTAGTGTAAACGGGGCCTCAATTAACCGCATGGCTTTGAGGCATCAATCATGTAAATTTAGTTTAGTTATGTGCCAAAGTTTAATACTTAATTTAGTTCAAGGTTTGTTCAAAATCCTAACATTGTTCAATTATGATAAAGTATAAGCAATAATAAAAGTGATGCTTCCCTTAGCAAATACCACACATTATTTATTGACTATTGGTTTATATAAAAAGCAATTAGCCACCCTAGAGTGCATTACACTTTTATTTTACTTCAAACTACATTTTAAGATATTTAAAAATATTTAAAACACTTAAACATTTTAACAGCAGAGCAGACTAAAGGTAATTACAAGTTTGCTTAATCTATTTTTGTTTTTTGGAAGAAAATTTCAGTACTCCTCACCCTCTGTGCGTCATGTTCAAGATGCCCCAGGTGCTAAAAAATAACCGGAAAACCGCCCAGAAACCCGTATGCACATGGCATGGCACTCAGCCATATACCATGCCAACAGTAAATAGAAGGCCAACATCACGGAAAGCGCTGAGACTGTCCCTTGGTGCCTGTGTGTTTGTTTGTGTCCATGTGGCAGAGTGTATTCAGCTTTGCGTCTCAACATTGCTTCCTCTGTCTAGGGACTAAATGTAGCTCTTAAACACAAATTCACGGACCCAGTGGCCACTTTAATCCCAGTTCTCGGGCTTTCTCTGCTGATGGGTCAAAGCAAAACATAATGTGAGATCTTGGCTGCAAGTGCCCATTTGGGGCTCAAATATTCAATAAGCGTAAACAGAGCGGGTTTAGAGGTGGACTCTGGCTAGTGTAAGGTGGCAGCTCACATAGTCAACATGTGTATAAATTTGATGAACTTTTGTGTGTGTTTTAGGGGACTGGGAGTGCTGTCCACTGGACCCCACCGCATGGCATGTACGTTTTTTTTTTCTTCACATCTTGTGCTATAATCAGTATATTTAGTCAATGTAAATTGATGTTCACAGAACATTTTACCTACAGATTGTGTATAATTATCAAAAAGAAAACTAAGAGCTTGATTATATCCATAGCAAATTGATTAGATGGGTTTGTTGCATTTGTTACATACGTTACAGTAGCTCAAATTAAAGCATTGCACTAGCAATGCCAATGGGTTCGATTCCTAGGAAATGCATGAACTTATAAAATGCATAGCTTAAATTCAGTGTAAGTTGTGTTGGATAATTAAATCAGGAAGGTGCATTAATATATTGTATTTTGTATTTTATGTGATGTATAACACTCATGCTTTGTCCAGCGTTGCTGAGATTCTGTTTTTATTCATTTTTTTTATTTTAATATTTCCATTACATTTTAATTTTAGGAAAAGTTTCTTGTCATTTTTCTTAAACATGTCTATATAGTTACAGTATATAAACATGTTTATGAATTACTTTAGTAGACCTACACCAAGTTAAACTAATTTAAAATGAGAAATGTTATTTTTATTCATATTTAATTTAAAGTAACAAAAATGTTTCCTTTGGTTTTAGTTCTAGTTAACTATAATAACCCTGCTTGAGGCTGTGTGTGAATGCGATTGAGTGTGAAGGTGAGATTTATATGTAATGGGATGGTTCTTTCTCTGATGAGATTAATCTCTTCCTTGTTCTCTTTAGCATCCGGTTACATGGCAGCCCTCCAAGGAAGGTGATCATTTAATTGGCCGAATCACTTTGAGTAAGCGAACAGCCATGCCAAAAGAGGCTGGGGCTCTGCTTGGGCTAAAGGTGAGGCGAGAGCTAAAGATACTGTATAAAAACAAGTGTTTCTCTCCTCACTGTAATGAAGTCAACAACTACATGTCATGAACCATGTACAAAAAAAGAAAAAACTCAAAATACAGGATATTTGCAATGCTGTACATGTTTTTGCATTTGTTAATTCTCTGTAGACTTTACCCATCTTTAATTGATTTGTATCGGTACAGGTGGTCGGGGGGAAGATTACAGAAACTGGGAGACTTGGGGCTTTCATCACCAAGGTCAAGAAAGGAAGTCTAGCTGATGTGGTTGGTCATCTAAGGGCCGGTGAGTCCAGCTCTTCTCTCAGTTTGAAGCTTAAAGAACTTGAGTCAATTGAGTAAACAAAGCGATTAAATTATTAAGCATATGAACACACATAAATGTGTATATCAGTGGTTCTCAAAACTTCTAAGAGGGCCTTAATATGACTTAACATTATTTTAAATAAGATTTAAATACTATATATTACTATAATATTAACATGATGTTATTTTATTAACATCAAATAATTTTAAAACTGTGACTTAAAAAGTCTGATAAATTGAATAAAATCTTAAAACATCATTGACATTTTTTTTTATAAAAAATATACATTTTGTAGATATGCCAAGCTCTAAAATATTTGATCTTGTGGAAATTGTGAGAGCAAATGTTTTTAAAAATAGGAAAAAAATTTTACTTATCCAGTGAATCACAAATGACTGAAGAATCATGTAAATTCATTGGTTAAAAAGAGTGGGAAACCTGAGGAACCTTGTGTGGGTTTACCAAACATGACCCGTGCAGGACCCTGGGGTCATTGGGCGTGTGCTAAAATAACACATTTAATTTATTTTAGTTGAATTCAATAATCTATTTAGTTCTCAGATATTTTAAAAATGTTCAGTGAGTGTGTTTAATCAATAAAATCTATTTTAAGAATGTTGATGTTCTCAGATGTATACAGGAATTTAATGTGACAACACACATTTTGGCTGTTTGCAGGTGATGAAGTGCTTCAGTGGAATGGTAAATCATTACCAGGATTAACCAAGAAAGAAGTTTACAATATCATCTTGAATTCTCAAACAGAACCGAAAGTTGAATTAATAGTATCAAGGCCAATTGGGTGAGTCATGTATCACATGCCTTACTGGGTATCTGACTTTTGGGTAACAAATGGCAAAGCACCTAATTTTATTATAGTCCGGACAAAGTCAAATCACTATTAAGAGTGTTTGAATAGTCTGTATTGTGTTTAGTTTTCACTTTGAACCATTATATTCTCCTCTGCTCTGTCCTCCTACCTCTTTAAAAAGATGTATTCATTGATTTCTCTCCAAACTCTTGAAATGGGTGTATAAATCTAAGCAGCCAGTAAAACAAAGTCTAAGAGGTGATTTTAGGAGCTTATCTCTGAATTCCCTACTCATTTGCTTCTGTCAGTGCTTCACTCATTTTTTTTTTTTTTTGTGCCTTGTTTTAATGTTGACAACTAATGTATGGATATGTGATCTCTCTCTCTTTAAGTGATATACCACGAATACCAGAAACATCACATCCTCCATTAGAATCTAGTACGTACTGAATCAAATGAATCAAGAACTCAAATGTGAACTCTCAAATATGTATATTTATTTATATATGTAAACATTATTGTGATCTTATCGGCACTTGTTTTTTCCTTGTCCCTCTGCAGCAGGTTCAAGTTCCTTCGAATCACAGAAGATGGAAAGACCCTCTATATCTGTCCTGTCCCCATCCAGCCCAAGGGGTCTTAGAGATGCCCCTCAGCTACTGCCTGGACAGCTGTCGGTCAGTAAATACTGAAGAAAACAAGGGCAAGTCACCATGTTGTGCTTAGATTTTTTGCTTATTAGCTATCTATTTATTTGTCTTCCAGGTGAAAATGTGGTATGACAAGGTTGGCCATCAGCTGATAGTGAACGTATTGCAGGCTATAGACCTGGCGCCCAGATCAGATGGACGACCCAGAAACCCCTATGTCAAAATCTATTTCCTGCCCGATAGAAGGTATTCATAGCTGTACATTAGCATATTAGATTTTTCTTGTGGTGTCAATTTTGATATCAAGAAATTTGTTACTGTATTGACTACAGGGGATATTCACTACCGTTTAAATGTTTGTGGTCAGTAAGATTTTGAAAAATACATATATTTAGCAAATGCATTTAATTGAACTTTCTATTCATCATTCTATTCATGGTTTCTGCAAAATATTAAGCAGCAGAACTGTTTATATTAATAATATAATGGGAAATATTTATTGAGCAGTAAATCAGCATATTTAGGTTAGACATCAATAGAATAAATCACATTTTAATATTTCACAATATAAAAATTTCACAATATTACTGTATTACTGTTTTTCAAAAAGGTGTATTTGATCAAATAAATGCATAAGAGCATGAGAGAAACGTGACAAAGTTTTACCGACCCCAAACTTTGGTAGTGTAGATCAACCTACTAAATAACCAATTTTCCAACAAATGTATGAATTTATGATATATATATATATATATATATATATTGATCTGTATATGTGTTTTACTTTAGTGATAAGAGCAAGAGAAGAACAAAAACAGTAAAGAAAAGTCTTGAACCCAAGTGGAACCAGACGTTTGTGTACTCTCATGTCCATCGGCGGGATTTCAGGGAGCACATGTTAGAGATTACTGTATGGGACCAACCCAGAATACTAGAGGAGGAGAGTGACTTTATAGGAGAGGTACGAAGCATATATTACCCATGTCCATTTATTCACAACATGAATTCACAACACAGTATTTCACCTGACTGTCTGTGAACCTAGATCCTGATCGAGCTGGAGACTGCCCTGCTGGATGACAAGCCTCACTGGTACAAGCTGCAGGCTCATGACGTCTCTTCCATCCCACTGCCGCACCCGTCGCCATACCTGCCCCGTAGACACGGCCAAACAGAAACACCCACCAAAAAGCTGCAGCGTAAGTAGAAGCCCGCGCTGGTGGGGGTGTAATCTGAAAGTGTTTACATAGTAAGTGCTTATTCTCTAAAAGGGAGGCATTTGCTAAGAGTAAATTCAGTTACTTGCTACCATTGATGCCACTTTTTATTTGCCAGCACCGTCTACGCAGTTTTAGGACCCGATAACTGAATATGTACCCAATTATAACACACTTCTTCATCTTGTGATCATAAATTTGATCAATTGCAGTGAGCACAAACAGTTGTACCACAAGTTGAATGGTAAAAGTTCAACGGTCGGTGACTGACCCCTGTAATTAGCATAATTTGCATAGAAAGCAGGTGTGTTTGCCCAAAACCAAATGACATTGACTTGTGCTACATCAGTTTGTATCAATATCAATAGTATTATACAAAGGTTTGGGGTCAATGAGATTTTTGTACGTTTTGGAAAGATCTTATGCTCATTTATTTGACCAGAAATACAGTAAAAACAGTCATTTTTTTTAAATAACTATTTTTTCTATTTTAATATATTGTAAATTTAAATAATAATAAAAAAAATGAAATAATTTATTCTTGTGATAGCAAAGCTGAATTATCAGCAGCCATTGTTGCAATCTTCAGTGTCACATGATCCTTTAAAATCAGTCATGATTTGCTGCACAAGAAACATTTATTAATATTACTGTATTAATGTTAAAAACAGTTACAATTTTGGTCTGAATTGTGATTGTAAATTTTTTCAGGACTGGATGGTAGTATACATTCTGCTTAATTGTGAGTGGTATATACTGAAATACTGCTCAATTGAGTGCCACAATCATTTAGTGAATTCGCCCCCGCAGTGTTTCACAGAATTACAGAAAGCTGAAGAGTATGTGGGCAGTTAGATTAAAATAGATGAAGTTGCCTTTACTTTCCAAGATGATATGTCAAACCAGGGAAATTATCATAAATTACAAATTTACTAAACCAAATGCTGTATAGTTTAAGTAGGTGAAGGAAAATCATCAAATATTACCGTAGTTAAACATCAACATATCTTTTAGCTCAAATTCCTGGAATTCATCTAGTCGCATTAATATGTTTGGCTTTGTGTTGCACATTTTGTGTCTGTTCTGTCTGTCTGTACGTTATGTTTTTGAACCGTGCTGCATGTGAGTTAGTGTGTAGGAGTGTGTGGCCCATGGGTACAGTATGTCCACAGGATATATTTTAGTATGCTAGGTTATTTCTGTATACCTTTGCTTTCCTAACCATGGCTTATTCCAACAGTGCTTTGTGTGCATTCGTTTACGTCTTTATCTCGTGTCTGTCAGTACATCTATCCCTGTGTATATCTGTATCTGTCTATGCAGGCTCGCAGCGTATTACAGAAACTGCTTATGATGATGCTATTGGTGTAGTCGCCACAGGTGGGTGGGAGGGGCCAAGGCATTCGCTACCTTGGCACTTCTTTGTGCTTTGTGAATTAGAGTACCCCAAAAGATAAAAGCATCCAATAGCAGGTCTTCCCTTCCTTTGGAAGTCACCGCTGTTGTGCTGGAGACAAGGCCCCAAACACCAACATTACACATCTGGCATGTTTCATTCATCCCATACTAATACAATAACTGAGTTGTTTACTATAAAGTGCTTGAAACACAAAAGTGGTGCTTTTTCTATATTGGGAGAATGTGTTTATAGACACTTTCCGGGGTGTTCTGTCTCCAGTACTTTTCTCTGTAGTATAGTAGTGTAGACCTGCAGCATAACTCACACTATAGCACATGCATGATCACAATAGGGAAGGTGATGAGGGAGAATTTGGGAACAGGAGGACTGCTTCCTCTCAGTAGTGCTCAACCTTTTATTTTGCCTCTGCATGGTAGAAGTTAGAAAATGTCACGGTTTTGTCGAACACTTCCTTTGTGAGATACCTTTACTTCATTCTCCAAACCATTAGCGTGTTGGGATGTTGAATTAGGATGTTGTCTTTGGACAGTGGTTATTTTTTTCTTCTTTTTTATCATGCTCACCTTTTGAATTTTGCATTTACTTTTTTGTTATTCATTGTGACTTAAAAAGTAGTTGTTATAATATAATATAATATTTATAATAGTTATGTTAAACGGTTTTATTAGAAAGACAAATATATCATAAAAAATAAATCATAAAATAAAAATATTATATATATATATATAATATTTTTATTTTATGATTTATTTTTCTATATTTAGTTATATATATATATATATATATATATTTTTTTTTTTTCAGATTTCAGTGTTTATAGCTTTGCCAAATAATGAAATGGTACATTATTTAAAAAATGTATTTGTGATATTTTTTTTTCACTCAGCCAAAAAGGTATATTTGGTGTGTTGTAAAAATACATAAACATTTCATTGTAGAAAACAGATTTTTAAAATAACCAAAAATAGAAAAATATATAAATTGAATATAATGTAGAACTCAAATGGTGATTCCAGCTATCTTAAGCACACATTGGTCAAGAAAAGGGAGAATGAACAAGGTATTTTAATTGTCTGGCATGTTTTCTTAGAAAAGATCTAACATATTATGTCAGTCATTTTATTTTTGGATGAGTTCTAACATGGGGAATGTGGTTTGTTAAAGCCAATGACTGCATAAGCAGTGCATCTGAATTTTTCCAGACAGGCTTTAAAAAAAGTTATTTATTTATTATTATTTTTTGGGTGTGTGTGTATGATCACAGCTACAGAAAACCGCTCAAGAGAAAGAGAAAGGGACAGAGACCGAGATCGAGCAACAACTTTAGAGGTTCCTGATCAGCAGAGGCCAACTCAGTATCGCTCAAGGTCTGTGTCTCCACACAGAGACGAAGAAAGCAGAGGGCGGTCCCGCCCTCCCAACGTCCCCACACAGAGGTATGCCCCTACCTATTTAGGATTTATCATGTAGTAAATAATTGCAACCTGCATAAAAAGGGGCACATCTTTCTCTTTAAGGAGTCTGGATGAGGTTCAGCATACCCGGCGATCCCGTTCCCCAACACGCTACCATGACCGTACATGTGTGCAAGAGAGAGAGTACATAGACGACAGGTAAATAGAAACGTGTGCGTCCAAGCAAGTGTGTATAAGTGTGCCATAGTGTGTGTTAAAAAAATCACTTCCACGTGCCGTCATTTTCTTTCATTAAAATGCTGTTTCTGGAATGCCATTCAAATTTTGTTTTTGGGAAGAGAAATTGTGCTCATCTACAAAGGTCTTCATTTTCAGAAGGTGGGTTAGGTGTTTTTGAAAAGATTGAGCTCTATTGAAGGGTTTGTATGGACAGAGATGATCGTACAGAAAAACTTTGTATTGTACTGGCTTTAAGGATTGTTACTGGTCCTCTTCTAAATCACTTACCGGTGCCCATTTTTTCCTTTATGTTTGCTTTTTTTATTGGTCTGCTTTGTTTATTTTCCTGTGTCATCCATCTCCATGGTAATTGCAGTGAGGTCATCTTGATACACAGATCAATGCGGGGTAGAAGCGCAGAGTGTCTGCACACCCAAAGGTAAAGAAAAGTCCCGAATCGAACCACCAATTTGTGAATTATAGTAATGTTGTATTCAGATTACTATGTGAATCAATATCACTATCTTGGTGTTATTAGCACTGGTAATATCATTTTCATTTTGAAAAGACTCTTCGTATCTGTTTCGTTCGCCTAGCCTGAAGTTTATTCTGTTTAGTTAAAACAGAACTGAGTGTTGATGCCAGTTTCACTCCCTCAAACGCTTCTTGTCAAGCTCTTCGCCTCTCAACTCTAATATTTCAGAGCATCTAGTTGACAAGAAACATTACAAGCGGAACTTTCCACTTGCTTTTGGCTTACAGCCTAAAAGACGATTACCTCGTCACGACAACTGTTTGCTTTCTCAGAATAACGATCTCATTCTGCTCAAGTGTTATTTTGACACGTTTATTTTTATTCCGCATGTCACTGATCTTGATTATGAGCGCGGGGGAAAAGGATGATCTAGAATGAGGGAGTTCCCCCTGGAGTGATCTTTGCATGTTTTTACATTCTTTTGCTATTTGAGTGGACACAGCTCTGATATTGATACATCTTTTGTTTCCCTTTTGCATGCTTGCATGTTAATGTAATTTTGCCAGGAGTTCATCTAAGTACAGTAGCACTCTGCCTCCTAAGATGCCTTTATTAGTCAATGGAATTCATAAGGTTATTTACAGGTAAGGCAGCCAAAACTGAACTCTTGAGCCATCCTTTCTGACTAATTAGGATTTTATAGCATCCATGAACCTCAAACTCCAGATTATTGTCTTATTTGATCAGATTATTTATAATTAAAAAAAAAAAAACATTAAACTTTTTGTACATGTGTCTGTATATATATATATATATATATATATATATATATGTATATACATACACACTGTAAAAATTATTATACTTTATCTAATCAATAGAACTGTGGCAACAGTTACAAGCAATATTATTAATTAAATTTTAAATTTAACAAATTAGAATTGAGTAATAATTCATCAAATTATTCCTTAAAAGTTAACCATTTAAAATGAGTAAAGTTTACACCAAAACAAATTATAAAAATATCTCACTAACAGACAGACGTCAAAGATTGATTAAGAACTATTTATTTTATATTGCCAACATTGAAGACACCTTATGTTAACAAGCAGAATCACTGAAGGAGAAAAACGTAATTTTAAAACAAAAAACTAAAACACTGATCACCATAATGGTGACTTAAATTTATGTTGTTTTTTTTTTTTGGTTGTTGTTAGTTTTTGCACTGCAAGTTTACTCATTTTAAATGGTTAACTTCTAAGGAATTAATTTGATTAATTATTACTCAATTCTAATTTGTTACATTTAATTAATAATATTGCTTGTAATCTGTTGCCACATTTTTTTTGGATTAGATAAAGCATATCAATTTTTATAGTGCATGTATAAAATATTATATATATATATCAAGTCAAGTCAAGTCACATTTATTTATATAGCGCTTTTCACAATACAGATTGTATCAAAGCAGCTTCACAGTGATAACATGTAAGTAGCACAACACAGATCAACAACATTGCTAAACACTAAATAAATAACCCCAACTGAGCAAGCTCAAAGCAAGCCAAAAGCAAGGCGACAGTGGCAAGGAACCAAACTCCATATATATATATATGGTAGGTAAATGTGAGTCTAAATGTGGTGTTTGTTTTCAGTGGATATTGTTTATTTTAAGAGACAGTAAATCACCATTAGCTGTGAACATCTTATCCTGTGTCCTAACCCAGCGCAATGGGACAGGTTTCACTGCAATAAGCAATTTGTCTGTCCAAACCAAGTAGGCCCTGGAGAAAGATATCCATTAGCGTCCGCATTCCCAATGTTAGGACACAGTGTTAAACTTTGAACTTGTTTCTTTGACGCTGTAATCCACAGATCCAAGTTGGTCATGTGATTTTATGTTATTTTTGGTTGTTGTGTTCTTTTTTTTTTCTGTAACTTGTGACTGCTTTTGTTTGCACTTGTTTGACTTTCGTTTGTGTTCAGCTCAACACTTCCTGCATGCCTTAAGTCAAAGTCACGGCTGTCTGTAGTCACTGCCACACAACGCCAAGTTCTTAGGCTCAAAGACAAGATCACCATTAGGTAAGGGGTCGAAAATATCAACCCTCAACCCCATCAGATAAAAAAAACAACAACATTAAACATCCAACAGCTCCCAAGAGACTTCTTATTCAAAACATTAGAAAATTCAACCATTATCTCACACACCACATTATAGGAGCTCTCTTGACTTCCTCCCCTTACAGGTTTGCTTTTCATATTATTTTGGACCTAATGTTTTTGTTCTTTGTCATCTTCCTATTCTCTGTTTTTCCTTCTCCTTTCTCCATTGGATGGCATGTTGTGACCCTAGTGATCTACAGCCCTCTCTTGACAGGCTTAGAAGTGCTAGTACCAACTGTCTGAGACCAGGTTCTAATTCCAATTCACCTGAACGAGACAGGTACACTCTTTATTTTGAATCGGATGATTCTAATTTTGTTGAATTTGTCATTGATATCATTCACAGAAATTAAAGGACACTCTTATAATATTCCTTTGTGATGCCCTTTCAACACAACAATACTTGGGTCTCATTCACTATTGTGCACACACACACAAACACATTGTTTTATATAAAACTAGAGAGCAAACAGAAGTCATAATTTTGGGAAGATTAAAATTTAGGATATACCTTCAAATCCTTGCATTAGAAACATAAAATGTAAAAAGTAAAATGTTTATGAATATAAAGGTTTGGGGTGGGTTCAGTTAATTTTTTTGTAAGTCTCTTATGCTCACCAAGGCTGCATTAGTTTGATTAAATATACAGTTAAAACATGAATGTTCTGAAATGTTATTATAATGTAAACTCTCTTTGACTCTTTTTGTATTTTAATATCTTTTGAAATGTAATTTATTCCTATAAGGCCAAAGCTGAATTTCCAGCATCATTACTCCTGTCTTCAGTCAGTGTCGTATGATCTAATATGCTGATTTGCAGCTCTAGAATAATTTCTTATTATCAATGTTGGAGGGAGACCAGAAAGCTGATGCTGCTAGCATACACGCACTCATTTTGATTAATTTGAGTAATTAGCTTTAGAAATACTTGTTGTTCTGTGTACATACTGTAAAATAAGAACACGTGTGTGTGATTGTTAGTGAGTAAGACCCATGTGTTAATGTCAAAGTAACATACCACTGTTAGGTCACCCACTATGCACTCCTCTTTTAGTGTCCAGTGACTCTTATGGCCTGACGGCTCTGTTTTGCGTCTTGGATAGGGAGTTTTTATCTAACCACAGTAGCTGAAGAAGTGTCAAATATGAGTCCCCTGAATCTGTACATCTTCTTGTGTGTTTTGAGATGACCGTTGTCACAGTATCTATATTGACCTCCCGTGTTTCTTCCATCTCCACTTTGTACTCTTTGGGTGTTTGTGGATCACACTCGCACACACTCACGCAGGAGCACCCAGTCTCTGCCCCGTACCAGACCCATGAGCCCAAGGATCCTAATTCAGCATGCCTCCCCAGAAGACGACAGGTATCCCTCCTGTCCTCCAGTCCTATTGCTAAACCTCTCTGCTCTTCTAACCTGTCCGTCCCCTCCCTGCCATGGGACTAGATAGTGGATGTGCTGTATAGCTAACCCTCCAACCTCCTGTAGCTTCTGACCTATAGCTTGTTGTTACCCAGCAGCCCCATGATTTTAGTGCTCTATAATGTGATCGTCAGTGTGTTTTGTAGTTTTTCAGCTTTAGAAATGTGGCTTTTGTGGTGTGATGTGCAATGTGTTGCGATGACTCCGGATTTCTTAGTCCTTTTTTATCTAAACTCTTTCCACAGACTATAGTCTATTCTATCTCTCTTGTTATCTTCTACAGTTTTTATACTGATTCTTCCAACAGTTTGATACATTTTCATACATTACAGCGGCCCTGAAAAGTATTTTTGACAAAAAAAAATGCACAAATGTGATTTATTTTAAACAAGAAAATACCACAAGCACACTTTTCAGGCAAAATCTTTCACACAAAAAAGTTCGTTTTCAGATTATGAAAGAGTAATTTGTTTGCAGATTCAAATGGGTTTTGTATTTTACTGTGATATTCAGACATTTTAAGTGTCCAAAATCATTTTGGGGGGCACTGCTTGTATCTTTACTTTTCTCTGGATTCATCTGAAATTGGAATGATTTACATAGGGTTTTGTCTTAGATTCTTTGGGTATATAAAGTCACATATGTCATCAGTCAGTTGTCTGTGCTCCATATCATACACAGTGTGTCTTGTGTATTTGTCTATCTGTACATTATTGTATAATTTCCTTTAGTGAATAGCCACTAAACCAAAGTGACATGATTTAGCCCTAATGACATTATTATTATTTTTTTTATTAACATCAGTCCATACTATGTCATTGTGTGTCTGTGTGTCTGTATCCATGCCACTCACATGTGTTTGACCTGATCTTATGAATCAGCTGGGTTTTGGAGGCTAGGTTCCCCGCTCAGGAGACAGTACACCGCCTCAGTGCAAAGCCAGACGCACAGAGGTACACACCCACAGGAAGAGCTCTAGAGCACATATACCAATAACATGTCCATCTCCATAGTGGCATTTTATTAGACAGCAGTTTCATTTACTGCCCGTCCAGTCCCGAGTAAATCCACTCCTCATTCTTTTGTTTTCTGTCTCGCCTGGGTCATTTCCATGTTGCAGGCAGTCGAGAACTCTGGACAAGCCTAGCTGTCAGAAACTTGGCAAGAAAATATCTGACAGCGAGCGGTAAGACTTATCAAACCATGTCACATCATGTCACATTTGCATTGCCTGTTGATTGTTTAAGTCCTGTATGTACAGAACCTGTTTAGTACACACATTTCACAGTGGATAAAGCTTCTAGATTGGACTTGAAAAAAAACAGTGTTTTTTTTTTATTGTTGTTAAAGTCCCCCTGTGGTAAAAATCAAGCTTTTAATGTTGTTTATATGTCTATGTGGTGTTTTAAGACAAACCATGCGCAAATTCGTAAGTCAGCACCATTGTTGAGTATTTTCTCCTTAAAAGGCAGTGAACCAAAGACAGGCTCAAAATCGTGGATCTCTGAGCTGGTGTGAGTGAGTGGAGGCGGGGCTAATATGCATATTCATAGAATTGCATATAGTAAATGAGGCAATAGTGTATTCAAGCTATTTTAAGACATAAAAAAAGTCACTTTGGTGATCAAAAATTAGTGTTAAGGGATATAATTATTGACTACTGGGCGACTTTAAATTATGTTTTTGTTTTCCAAATACTGTATGCTTTTGTTATTTCTGACCATTTCTTTATTTTATATCAGAGCCAAAATTTAAATATTGCCAAAGCTCCAAATGTGATTAAATATGTATTTTGGTGAGTAAATAAAATGGTTAATAGGATTTACTCACCTGTTCTCTTACAATATGTGAATAAAATGAAATGTTTCAGTTGAAATGGCTAAAGCATTCATATTAAAATAATATAATAAAATAATATAAATGGGATGAAAGATATTTAAGTTAATAATAATCAAAATTTAAATAAAAAAAATATACAAAAAGCATAAATATTTTTTTTAATAAAAAATAATTCATGGCCACGAGTGCATTTCCTCAAATCGCCGACCTATGTTAAATTTGGACCCTGTTTTTAGTATATTATTCTTTGTATTAAATTGTGAATATTTTTCAGTTGTTGAACTTATAGAGAAGTGCTGATCTGGCTTCATCCACAAACATATTTATTTTTTCACACATTCACACTATTTCTCTCTTTGTTTTTGCAAATCATTTTTGGGCTTTTTCTCCATTTTATTATTTTTTTCTATGATTTGTCACATTGATTTTATTTTTCCTTTATTATTCTGTCTTGTATGTTGCTATTCTCACTGGCTTGCAGCATTAGGCCAACCTCCATTCTAAAGGGCTCACGCAGGAAGAGGGTATCGCTGCCTCCATTGGGTAAGGTGACCCGTGCGTGCGGGGGTCAACCACAGGCTCACCCCAAATGGAAAGGTGCTGACCCTGATCTGGGCTGAGAAGCCTTGCTGTACTCAACCCATCCTACAATTAACACTTTAAGCTTTGTCTTTGCTATAACCTCCGCTTTTGCTCTTTTCTCTAAAATGTTTTGTGTGGTTGTCGCTTTTTATACTGAAAATCCACCTGTCCTCATCACATACCCACAGCTTTCTGTTTGTTGCCTTGTGCATAACAACAATGTTATCTTTCACATTTACCGCTTTTTCCCCCACCAGTTTTACACCCTCTACTCCTGTACTTGTTTTGCTTTCATTATGGCTCTTAGCTATAATACATATCAGATGTGATCAAAAATGTTACCTTATTATCATGCAGATATTGGTCCGGTAAGGATCGGTCTGTTCGTGAAAATGTGTACTACTTGATACTGTGCGTTTATCAGATCCACGCTGGTTGGCGGTATGGCCTATGTACTTGATAAAATAAACGCATTCCTTCTCCCTTCTCTCTCTATCTCTCTCTCTCTTTCTCTCTCTCTCCATCAGGGAACAGCCAAACTCCCGGCCCACATTCTCCTCATCAACAGGGGACTCTTCTTCGACACGAAAGGTCAGACAGCTTCCCCAAGTTCCCGCTAAAAGCAGCAGTGTAGAGCAAGGTACATTGTCCACTGACTTGCACTGGTCACTTTTCCAAATGTTTGTTGAATAAATTGCAAAATATGAAAATTTCGTGTTAATAATATTTTTTTTTTTTATCATGTATGTATTAGCTCTTGCTTCAGAGGAGCGAACACGGCAAATGAAAGTGCGCACCTTCCGAACAGCAGCTCCCTCCAGTACCAGCCAGGATCTGGAGAAGGCGCTCAAAAATAAAAGAGAGGTGAGTGCCGTTCTACTCTCTCGGATTGGACTTCATTATCATATACACTATTGTTAAAAAGTTTGGGGATTCATTTCTAATTAAATAGAAATTTTCAGCAGCCATCACTTTTTTCTTCAGTGTCACGTGATCTTTCAGAAGTCATTCTAATATGCTGATTTATTACTTACAATTATTATCAATGTTGAAAACCATTTTTCCTGCTTTGCTTTTACAGTCGAAGATAAATATAAAGTTCAAAAGAACAATATTTATTTGAATTTTAAATATTTTGTAACATTATAAATGTTTTTACTGTCACTATTGATCAATTAAATGCATTCTTGCCAAATAAAAGTATTAGAAAAAATCTTATACTGACCCCAAACTTTTGAACGGTAGTGTGTAATCCCATTCCAACACTTTCAAACTGAAAAATCTAGAATGTTCAGATATGCACTTTCATTCTTTTATGCATTTCATTCCACTAGCTTTATAAGGAGCAGCGACGAAGCTGTGACAATGTGTCCCATAAGTCCTCAGACAGTGATGTCAGTGACGTGTCAGCCATCTCTCGCGCCAGCAGTGCCTCGCGGATCAGTAGCACCAGCTACATGTCCATTCAATCAGAACGACCCAGGGGTCGCATTAGGTGAGATGCATAGACTTAATGCAACAGCCCCTTATGATTATAACTGACAATTTTTGCAACATTTTGACACCTCACTTGTGATTATACTTGTTAGAGATCAATTTGTAATTGGAATGTCATTTATTCACTTTTTTTTAACTATTTGTTCAAACATTTCTTATATCTCATAAAGAGAGATAGCTGTGGATCTTTCTACATTAATGGGCCATATTCTACACATTTATAACATCTTTGTTCTCTTGAAGAATTTAAGAATTTCTGAATAAATGTTTGTGTAGCAGTCAATAGTTAATTTACATGTTACAATGGTAACCTGTTTTTGTTGTTTAGTGTCCATACATTTATGTTGCACACATTTAAACACTTCCGTTTAAAGGTTTGGGTTCAAGAATGCGTTCAATTTCTCAAATGTGACAGTGAAGACATTTATAATGTTCCAAAATATTTCTTTTTAAAATAAATCCGGTTCACTTGAACTTTCTATTCTTCAAAGAATCCTGAAAAGAAAATGTTTTCCAAAGATATTAAGCTGTACAACTGTTTTCAACATTAGTAATATCAATATAGTACCAAATCATTACAGTATATTAGAATGCTTTCTGAAGGATCATGTGACACTGAAGACTGGAAGAATGGCGGCTGAAAATTCCATCACAGGAATAAATTACAATTTTATTGTTATTTTAAATTGCAATGATACAATTTTACAATACTAATGTTTAACTGTATTTTAATAAAATAAATGCATCCTTGATCATAAGAGACCTCAAACTTTTCAATTGTAATGTTTATTGTACATCAAACTCTTTTACAGTATAATCAAAATGGCACAAAAAAAATCACTGTTTTCAATTATTTATCCCTTTAAGATGTTCACGGCAGTCTTTTCCATGATAATGTCATCCTGAGATTTTTATGCTTTCCGGTAAACTCACAGAGCGTCACAATGACATAGCGATTTTCCATTTGTCATTTGAGTTATTGAGAGTCTTTGCTATGTTTTCTCTCTCCACCAGCCGTCATATTCATCCATCCAGCCGCAGCATGTTGAAGAGCACGAGTGTCAGTGGGGAAATCTACACTCTGGAGCGTACGGATGGCAGCCAGTCAGACACCGCTCTGGGAACACTGGGAGGAGGAGGGAAAAAGCGCAGATCCAGCCTTAGCGCCCGTGTCGTCGCCATCGTGGGCATTCCCTCACGCCGCAGCAGAAGCACCTCTCAGCTCAGTCAGACAGGTGAGACACTAACAGCCAATCATATCCTTTCTGTGCAACAATGGCTTGAATAGCCACATAAATCAGGTATTGCTTCTAATAAACACACAAGTGTAAATCTAAAACATGTTACTCGCTGCTTCATGTACCATATATAGTAGGGCCTTTTGTCCCAATAAAACTCATTGTTTGGATATCTGATAAAGTCACTTAAAGTCACACTCTTTTAAACACCTGAGAAGAGATACAGGACAGATCCATTTCTGAATGCTCTGTTAGCATAGCCTGAGGTGCCCTCTACTGGTGTAAAAGCTCAAATCAGCAGTTATTAAGGCCAAAAATGCTTTCTATCTTGAGTAACAATGAGGATATATTTAGTAGAATGACGTTAGCGTCATCGGGACCCCAAAGAATTTGTTAACAAAATCAAGACTGGCTTATTATAAGGAGCAAATTCTTTCCATCAGTTAAATCCACTTGCCAAGACCGCCGGATGTCTTTTCCTCAGTCCTCCTGCTTTGCTTAGATGGCTATCTCTTATCTGTCTCCCCTCTCTCTTTCTCTGGGTCACCCTTGTCTGGTCTCATTCTACCTTGGTTCACCTCTTAAAGTAGCATGTGTCTTTAGTCTCTTTAAAAGTGTGGGAGCTGAAGCATCGGGCTAGAAATATGAATGGCAGCATGTTATCGTTGGCAAGAGTTCACTCTGTCAGGTGCAGATCAACCCTGGATTCCTATCAGATGTAATGTAGATAAATACCTTTGAAGTTGGATCTGATATCCTCTAAAATGCCATATTTTAAGCACTGTCTGTTTGTAGTTTAATAAATGGATTGCTGAAAAAAGAAATAAATTCTAAAAGGATGGCAAGAGAAGTTTTTTTGGCACCGCTCTCTGCCAAACGCCTGGATAATATCTTAAAAGGACCATCAGATGATAAATCATAAAGAGTTGCAAAGATGCGATAAATCAGCATTTTAAAGAGCTCCGCTGCTATGTAACAGCTGTTCCACGCTCTGTCCACTGCACCAGCCTCATCCATTCACAAGCATAGCCAAAACTAAAAATATGATTGCGGGAACACTTTCTTAATCTCGTAACATGAGTTAATGCATTAAGTATTATGAACAACTGTTTTAAAGTGTTTAATTGTGGTTCATAGTAATTTATGCATATATACTAATTATTATTATTATTACAAATATTCACATTGTATATTAAGATTAGTTAAAGTCCAAAGGAGAACCTCCATAATTGAAAAAAAGTAAAAACAATATGTTGTGAAATATTATTTAAAAAACTAATTCTGTTTGAATATATTTTAAAATGTCATTTATTCCTGTGATGGCAAGGCTGAATTTTCAGCATCATTACGCCAGTCTTCAGTGTCACATGATCCTTCAGAAATTATAATCTAATGTGCTGTTATATGACTCCTCCTCAACAAACATTTATTATTAATATCAATGTTAAAACCGGTTGTACTGCTTAATCATTTTGGGGAAGCTGTAATTGGACTTTATTCATCAAAGATTCCTAAAAAAATTAAAAATAGCATAAAGAACAGCATTTGTTTAATATATATATATATATATATATATATATATTTGTAAAAAGTATATGATCAATGTTGATTAAATTATCATTCACTTGGATTAATAAACACTGTAAGAAGTGTTGTTCCTTGTTACTTGTTATTTTATGATACTTCATGCATTAACTGATGTTAACAATTTGGATCTTTTTTATAAAGAATACTTAATAAACTGTATCTTATTTTTTTTTTAAATATTATCTAAGGAGTTATATAGGCCAATGATGATTTATCTTTTAAACTGCAGAATGACTAATGATGCCAGTGACATTGATTTCACTTGAAAGTGACACCCAGTGTTCATATTATGAATTTAATTTATTTCACAAAAACGTGAAAATGTTTGCTATTCAGATCGTTTTTAAAATATCTTGTGGCCTCGCAGAGCATGTAGTTTAGACTCTCCTGCCTTAATATCATTTGTTCACAATTCTAGAAAGTTCAAAAGACTAGAAGAACCTCAACATACAGGTGCTCTAAATGTATTTTATTTTATTTATAAGATAACACAGTATTTCTCCGTTTTCCCAAATCCCAAAAAAAGAGTCCCTGGACCTTGTGAGAAAAAGCCCTTGATTGTGTTTTGATGAAAGTGAACATGATGAGTGAAGAGATAAACCTCTTTGCTACATTTTAAAGTCAAACAACTGGCATGACAGTGGCTCTGTGAGGTTGACATTTTCAAAGGATCTGTAATCCATCAAAAGGCCATAAATAGTAAGGATGGTGCCCCATGATGTCCAGCAGATGTTACTCTCACCAAGGGCGAAGAATTATATCTTCTCCTGATTCACGGCTGTAAGAATAGCAAACTTAAACACCTGGGTACACGTGTGTGTTTTCATGTTTTATGGGGACTTTCCATAGACATGAAGATTTATACTGTATATTCTATCCCCTTACACCAGGGAAGGCAAGTTTGGTCCTAGAGAGCCACTGTCCTGCAGAGTTTAGCTCCAGCCCTAATCAAACAAACCTGAACAAGGTAATCAATTGCTGTGTCCCAAATTCGCCTACTTCTACTACGCCCTAAAAGTATGTACTCTTTTTGTGAAGAAAGTGTGTAGTAAAAGAGTAGGAAAGCTTTGCGACATACTACTTCGTCATCTTTAACGGACAGCTCTGTCGCGTGCATCCTATCACCGTAAACTGACCTGTCAATCATCTCGTCACAGTTAAAATCCTCCATTCAATCTAATTTAATTTCTTACCATTTCGTAGAGAAATGTTGTCGCACGTTCACCTATTAGTCGTGGTTCTTTCATGGGGAGACTCTCCGAATGTGTTTGCAATTTGAATGTAATGATGGATTTAAAAGTTAATGGCTAAACGTATCTTTACAAAAGTTCACAATGCATTTGCAGATACAATAGAATAATGTAGAATACATTTTTGTCAGGTTAGATACTGATAATTAATCACTTAAACCCCTAAACCTCGTCCAACACGCGATGGGTTTTGGGCAATATCAGCCATTGGAGTGTGCATCGATCTGCACTTCGGATTCTGACCGGATATAGCAGACCATCCGGGTCTCTTTGGAACACTCATTTCAACATACTACGATTTGGGACGTACTAATTCTATTTTCGAATACTATTTAGGATGGATAGTATGCGAATTGGGAAGCAGCATATGTCTTCAGGAGTACTAAGGGTACAGGCAGATGAGGGTTTTTTCAGGGTTGGAACTAAACTGCAGGACAGTGGCTTTAGGACCGAACTTGCCTACCCCTGCCGTACACTAACTCCACCCCTAAACCTACCCACCACAAAAAAAAACTTTCTGTATTTTTACATGTTCAAAGAATATCACTTAGTATGATTTACAATGGGCACCAAAAAATGTGCCCACATGGATTTCGAATATTGCCATCACTGTGGGGACATTTTATCCCTGTAGTGTAAGGTTTACCAAAAAAACAAAAACAAACATTGTTTGCACTTTATTTTACAGTATGTGTACTTACAGTGTACTTATCTAATAAAGTACTGGGTGATAAGGTAACTACATGGTTTATGGGTAAGTTATTAAGTTATTACCCAGTTATTGTAATTACTATAAGTATAGTATGTACATAGGGAACAGGACTGTAAAAAGTGCTACCCTTTAACCTTCTGACAACCTTTAACATTAAGTACTGCTTAAGTGTGTTTGTGAATTAAAGGACCTTATTGGGACCCCCTTGTCCCCCCATCCACAGAAGCAGCCAACAAGAAAACAAAGGGATCCAGTCAGATCCAGCGCAGTCAGGAGACGGGAATGGCAGTGGAGTATCCCCGTAACGCTATGGCCCGCCAAACCAGCCGAGAGTCCACTGACGGCAGCATGAACAGCTATAGCTCTGAGGGCAAGTTAGTATCCAGAGCAGTTTGACTCCTCTTTTCTTTCACTGTTATAAACCATATATCGATCTATCACGGGTATTTTTCTCACAATTTCGCAATGGTACTTCTATCTATCTATCTATCATCTATCTATCTATCTATCTATCTATCTATCTATCTATCTATCTATCTATCTATCTATCTATCTATCTATCTATCTATCTATCTTGTCAGAGCCACTTTTATGAGACGTAGGACTGAAATTGTGATGCATCATGATATATTGAACTACTATCGTTCAAAAGTTTAGGCTTATTTATATATATATAGATTCATAAAAAATATGTGTATATATAAATAAATTTATACAGCAAGGATGCATTAAATTGATCAAAAGTGACATTAAAGACCTTTTATAATCTATACTGTTACCAATTTGTGCCATTTCACCCGAGGTTGACCTCCTCCCCAGCTCTCTCTCCCTTAAAATGTCTCTGGTGTTTTTATGTATTCGCTGCAAACCCATCACTTATACATAAATGGACTCTTAACAGGCTGCGTGTCATGTACACATGAGCTTCTCTCATCTAGATTTATTTGGAAAAACCATAAGGATAAGCTAATAGAGAACAGTCTGATTTACAGAGCGAATGCTGTGTCCACTACTGTCTGAGCTCCATTTTTGGAGCCAGATGGCAAGCAGTACTCCCCTATAATAATTAAAATATCCATCATCTGCGGAGAGGGGCCTTGGCAGGGTCTGTAGCGGCGTAGAAAACGGCAGCCACGATTCCCTTTGCGGCTTCAGAGAGCGTTCGGTCGGTTGGCCTGTCCGTCGTGACAAACAGAGTGTGACACGGCAAAATGAGCAGCAACCCCATGATTTAAGGTTGAACGTGTTTTAAATGGTCTGAAATCACATAAAGCCATTCATATGGTAGCACGACATGGGCTGGCACGTCCCTCAGACATTCCTGCAGGAGTTAGGTCATGGAAATTGCGCCGGTCTCAAAGGAAATATTGAGTGTATTAAGAGGGGCCTTAACGCAGGACAGGGTTTACATACCATACTCAGCGCAAGCAGCCTCTGCATTACAGCAGCCTTTGAACGCACAGTATATGAGGGCAGGAGTAGATTTCATCCATATAAACTATATGTGTTCTTGTGCGAAGTTTTTCACATGTTGGTCTTTACAATGGTTTCAGAAGACACATTTTGGGATTTTTATTGATTTATGACAACAAAGTATTTTAGAATGCATAAGCTGTATTTAAATTGCTTCTTTTTATCCATCCATCTGATGACTGGTGCATGTGTGTGTGTCAGTTTGATCTTCTCAGGGATGAGGTTAGGGGCTGACAGCCAGTTCAGTGATTTCCTGGACGGTCTAGGCCCTGCTCAGTTGGTGGGTAGACAAACACTTGCCACGCCCGCTATGGGTAAGTCAATTATTTTGCATAGTATAAACAAACTTAAGTCTAAGATTTTGTTAGATTTGCTTCAAAGGAAAACATTGAAAAATGTAATTTCTTGTTTTTTCTTCGAATTGGTTTTGTTTTGTAGGAGATGTTCAGATTGGACTGACAAATAAGAAAGGGCAGCTGGAGGTGGAGGTTATCAGGGCCCGTGGTCTTACGCCTAAACCAGGTTCCAAATCGCTGCCGGGTGAGACTGTGCCCACACACAACTACTTTTCATAGGGATTAGGGATTCATTATGTGAATCCTACTCATTGTGTAAACATTTTTACATGCATGACTAAATTGTTCTGTGTTAAGCACTTTGAATTTCTTTTTTTCTTTCTGTACCTATTGTTAGACTGTACCTAATGTAAGCAGTCTAAAAGTTCAGTTCAGTACGATTTTTTAAAATATATTAATATATTTATTCAACAAGAATGCATTATTTAAATTGACCTAAAGTGACAGTAAAGACATTTACAATGTTGCAAGATTATTATTTCAAATTACTTAAATCCTGTTCTTTTTAACTTTCCATTCATCAAATAATCCTAAAAAACGTGGTTTCCACAATAATCTTAAGCAGGACAGCTGGTTTCTAAATGAACAACAATATAATAATATAATATTATTATATAATAATAATAATAATTTTTGAAGAATCGTGTGACACTGAATACATGATCAAATATGCTTTTATATATATATATATATATATATATATATTGAAAAAAAATTTCACAATATTATTATTTTTCTATAGATTTGATCAGACAAATGCAGCCTTGGTAATCATAAGAGACTTAAAGGAGTAGTTCCCTTTTAAAAAAAAACTTGCTGATAATTTACTCACCCCCGTGTCATCCAAGATGTCCATGTCTTTCTTTCTTCAGTCGAAAAGACATTAAGGTTTTTGATGAAAACATTCCAGGATTTTCTCCATATAATGGACTTCATTGGGAACCAAACGGTTCAAGGTCCAAATGAGAGTTTCAGTGCAGCTTCAAAGGGCTTTAAACGACACCAGACGATGAATAAGGGTCTTATCTAGCAAAACGATCGGTAATTTCAAAAATAAATAAAAAAGTTTAAGTTTTATAACCACAAATGCTCGCCTTGCTCTGTTCTGTGATGAGTGTTTGTGACTCTCCTGTTTAAACTCGTTCATCAAAATTAACAAATCTTTTTTCGAGTCATGACTCGAAGGGTCCTAGATAAGACCCTTATTCATCATCTGGTGCCGTTTAAAGCCCTTTGAAGCTGCACTGAAACTCATATTTGGACCTTGAACCGTTTGGTTCCCAATGAAGTCCATTATATAGAGAAAATCCTGGAATGTTTTAATCAAAAACATTAATTTCTTTTCAACTGAAGAAAGAAAGACATGGACATCTTGGATGACACAGGGGTGAGTAAATTATCAGCAAAAGTTTTTTTAAAAGTGAACTACTACTTTAAAGGGTTAGTTCACCCAAAAATGAAAATTAAGTCATTAATTACTCACCCCCATGCTGTACCAACCCCGTAAGACCTTCGTTCATCTTCGGAACACAAATAAAGATATTTTTGATTGAATCTGAGGGCTGGATCACTTTTCCATAGACAGCCTGAGGGACTGCCTCTTGACGGCCCAGAAAGTCATTAAAAGAAAAGGTTTAAATATTCCATGTGCCTACAGTGGCTCAACTATAACTTTATCAAGCGACGAGACTACTTTTTGTGCGAAAAAAAAACGTAAATAACGACTTTATTCGACTTTCCATTACTTCCTTATGGGCGCATGCGCGAGAACTGAGACGAGACCGTTCTTCTTCGACTACTTTTTGTTACCGGCTGCTCACCGCTTAGGAGTTTTACCGCCCCTACCGTATAAGATGACATACTGCTTGTAAACAGAACGTTTTGCGCCTCCGGCTATATCAGTACGTCATCTTATACGGTAGGGGCGGTAAAACTCCTAAGCGGTGAGCAGCCGGTAACAAAAAGTAGTCGAAGAAGAACGGTCTCGTCTCAGTTCTCGCGCATGCGCCCATAAGGAAGTAATGGAAAGTCGAATAAAGTCGTTATTTACGTTTTTTTTTCGCACAAAAAGTAGTCTCGTCGCTTGATAAAGTTATAGTTGAGCCACTGTAGGCACATGGAATATTTAAACCTTTTCTTTTAATGACTTTCTGGGCCGTCAAGAGGCAGTCCCTCAGGCTGTCTATGGAAAAGTGATCCAGCCCTCAGATTCAATCAAAAATATCTTTATTTGTGTTCCGAAGATGAACGAAGGTCTTACGGGGTTGGTACAGCATGGGGGTGAGTAATTAATGACTTAATTTTCATTTTTGGGTGAACTAACCCTTTAAAGGAGCTTAATGGATTGATTACAGCAGGACATTCTGAAGTTTAATACATTGTACGAATTGTTAATATGACGTGCCGGGCACTGTAAATGCTTGAACAAACCTTTCTGAACTATGTGTGCTCTTCACAGCTCCCTACGTCAAGGTTTATTTGCTGGAAAACGGAGCGTGCAAAGCCAAAAAGAAAACCAAGATTGCACGGAAGACGCTAGATCCTTTGTATCAGCAAGCGCTCTTGTTTGAAGAAAGTCCGCAGGGTAAAGTCCTCCAGGTAGGAATCGAGTTTCGTTGGTTTGTTTTCGGTCTTCCTCCATAGCCCACATTAGTGTGTACTGACCACTGAATGTGTCTTCAGGTAATAGTCTGGGGAGATTACGGCCGCATGGACCACAAATGTTTCATGGGAGTCGCACAGATTCTTTTAGAGGAGCTGGATCTTTCCAGCACAGTGATCGGTTGGTACAAACTGTTTCCCCCCTCATCATTGGTCGACCCGACCTTAGCCCCTCTCGCTCGTCGTGCTTCCCAGTCGTCGCTGGACTCTTCAGGGCCACCGGGCATCATCAGGTCCTAGTGAACGGACAGGAGCCAGATGCGAAACAAAACCACACGGACCAAGGACCCGAGGCAACAATCAGAACCGGAGCGGCAGATAAAGAGACAGATGGACAGAATCACGATCAAAGCTTTGCTGAAGCCTGACAATCACTTCTCTTTTACTTTTGATCTTTGGGTTGTAGAGATTTCCTTTGATCCACTCTGCTCCGTTTACTGCATGTTTTGTTGCTGAGATGACGATTCGACCCAAATTAAAAAAGAGAAGGAAGGGAGAGGCTCCCAAAACGCGACCAGGAAGCAGAGCCCACGTGGTTCCGGTAGCCTAGATGGTTGTGGTCAGTCAGCGTATTTGTTTTCTCTCATGTGTATGCATTTCAGAGAATGGCGAGAGTGAGAGGACAGCACTGCCCCTCCTCTATATTGCACTTACAGGAAGCCCCAGAGGTCGAGGGTTAAAGGTCAAGATTTAGTCTTCTCAGAGAGTTTCCTCTCTGCTTCACGGATGCTGCATCCGAGACCCCGCCGTGTGCCGGTCTGGCACGAACTCAGACTCAGATTGTGTGACTGCGGTGTGTGTGTGTGTGTGAGTGTGCGTTTGCGTCTAATAAGGCAGGGATGCCTGAGAACCTTTTAAGTCTGTTTACAGCAGTCGCCACCGACTGCTTTGCCTTTTCACGTTACTGTTGATTTGGTAAATAGGCACACTTTGTAGAATGTGAAAACATGCTTCATGTTTTCTGACATTTGTGTCATACGAGCTTCATGGAAGACACAAAACCAATTGTATTTGATTCACCGGGACTGTAAGAAGCAGCCACTATCATTTAGGTTTCTTCAACCCTAACGGGAAACTACATGCATTCGCTCGCTAAAACGTTCGACTTCGCAATCACAAAACATATCGTACTGGCATTTCAGAGCATTTTGACTTCTATTCCGTTTGGTAAAAGACCTGTACATACCGATATTTGAATTTCTACCTGACTAGAGTTTACATTATTTTAATGCGAGCACAATTGCTTGATTTTTGAACAAAACAAGAGAAAAGTTTAAGCTTTGGGGGATTGATGATATTAATGAAAAGGCCAAAATCGTAAGCTTCCTATTTTTAGCCGTTTGTCATCGATTTGGGTTTGGTTTATTATGAAACAAATCTCATAGACCCCCCTCCCCCCCCCCAATGAGCATTTTGAATGTGACAGTGAAAAGTGGTCTTTGAAGAAGACCGATCGCCACCAACACGGGGAACAGCATGAATCTGGAACTGTTCCAAGTTGCATGCACATTTTGTAAAACAAGACAGATGAGAAAAAAAGAGACTACAATAAGTGTGTGTTAGTTCCACAAACTGTAGGCCAGCTTGTATGTTGCATGTACTTGTACAGTTTGCTTGTACTTGATATAAATAGATTATCAAATAAAACGAAGCCATTCATTCCATGTGTGGGCATTTGGCCGGGTTCAGCCATACACACGGGCCTTATTTTGGGGCTGAATGTCTATAAAATTTTTAAATTGTTTTAATCAACCCCCCTTCCCCTTTTTTTTTTACTTGACCCTGGATGGATAAATAAGCACTGTACTGTAGTACTCCGCAAACTCAAGGCCCTATTTTATTGAAGATGTTGCTGTTCACTGTAGTCTGTATACTACTGTGGGGCTAAAACTAAGGTAGAAAGCCTGTATAAAAACTAGAGCTATATGTATATGGAATATAATTATGAAAATCACAATGACATAGAGATATATCGATATTGAAACAGAGTGTATCAAGTAAACATCACTTACGTACATGCATATATTGTAAATATGAGTCTGCAAAGAAGTTTACTTATATTTACAAAGCGGCCCCATTCAAGTTAATGGATCAGTGCTCTGTCTCTTGGTTCTGCTGAGCGGAAGAAGGGATGCCTCCAAAGTTTTATTTTAGTGATGCCCAATCTAACGAGAGAAATTTGGACCTCTACCACCCTGTTGCTTTATAATAAATGCTCATGAATCCTCGTTTCAAAGAGAAGTTTACTTTATATGCCTGGTTTCGGCAGACTTATTTACTTTGTCAGTATTATTCAAGGATACTGATTGTTTACAGCTCATGTGTTCCACTGAAACAAAATTGAAAGTATTCACTGCAACATTTCTTGTTTGTACAGCAGACGTGGCTCAAATAATGTGTATGTTTTATATTCAAGAGTTCATTTTTATTATTTACAAATAAAAGACTGTGTGGAAGAAATTGTGCACTGATTTGTTTTATTTATTTATTTATTTATTTCAAATACATGATTCTAGCTTTTTTAATGTTTTTATTTTTGTATCTTTGTTTAAAAAGTGAAAGAAAATGTGTGTACTAAATTTTGAAACATTTTCAAATATTTGACACCAAGCTTTTTCATTTTATGTATACAATTATATTTTTAGAAAAAAATTAAAATTTTAAATGTAATTTTGATAATTAAAAAATGTTAAGATCACATTTGTCTATGCCCTCAAACCAAAAAGAGGTCCGCCCAGTAAAGTCCATCAATGCATCATACTTTAGTTAATGGTAATCCAATCTCTCCACCACGTGGAGGGAAATAGCACTACACAGTTCCTTCCTTTTGTTTGTGGTTTACATTTGTTTTATGAGAAACTTTCAACAATTGTGCAAGGTCACTGCTTGCTTAACAATAGCTAAAAATACCTCCGGAAATGTGACATTAGACTTGGTCTTGTGTGATTATGTAACCACTGAGCAGCTGTTCAGAATCTACTGCATAATTTAATTATCCAGCTAATTGTAATTTAATGTCAGTGTCTGTTTAGGTGAGCTATAAAAGTAGCCACTATAAAGTCTAGTGAAACTGTTCCTTAAAGATAAAGCGGATAAAGAGGCGGCGGGCTGGTGTGGGTTTGCTTATAGCTCCCAAGGCTCAGCCGCCATGTGTTGGAATTCATATCGGTGAACGAGTGGGCCGCTTCCTTGCACTCTTCCTCACTGTCGTGTGTGCCTATGGACCGAACAGCAGTGCAGAGCAACCGGCCCTCTCAGAGTCTCTGGGAGAGGTGATGGAAAGTGCTCCGACTGGGGACTCCGTCGACAGTGACACCTGGAGGGGCGTGATTGGGAGGAACAGCTCCCCCTGATCTGAACCCGAGCGGTGTTCTGTTATTGGACATCTGTGCTAGTCACTGCTCCGAGCTGACCATGTCCTCCACCTCCATTGTCGACGCTGTCGCTCAGAGCTGTGACCATAAGGTCTCCAGTCTCCGTTTGTGGGACTCATGAGGCAGTTGATGGGTACCAGCAGGCCAAGCGGACTGCAACCCGGGTGGTTGTGGAGGCAAAAAATCCAGCCCATTCTCACTTCCCAAGGCGTCAGTTAGGTGACGCCTTGGGAAGCATTTTGACCATGCTTCAATATATGACGCTTTAAGGGGCCCTTTAGCGTCAGTTAGATGACGCCCTAGGATCACGTGTAACCCTACCCCCACCCCAGACCTAAACCTAACCGCGTCATCTAACTCACGCTTTCCTTTAGCGTCAGTTAGATGACGCCGTAGAATCGTGTAACTGATGCTAAAGGGCGCCTAAAACGTCAAATATTGAAGCATGGTCAAAGGTGACGCCTTGGGATGAGAATGCGTTGAAAAATCAGGCCAGGGAGGAGAAGGACTATCGGTTGGCTTCGAAAAGATTATGACAAACCATCCGGCGCCTTAGGAGATGGAAGTAGTGCCCAACACTACAGTGGAGGTGGGCAGCTGTTGGAGGGGGACGTCTTTGGACAGTGAAGGAATACTTTTTGAGGATCTCCTCAATCCCACCGACACGTCTTCTATTGAGGAAACAGAGATTGAGGGCTCAGAAACAGAGATTGTGGACTCGTCCATCACCCAAGCTTAACTACCTGACAGGTAGTTAAAAAGCTCCCCAGTGGCAAGTCTCTGGATGTTGTGGGGCTGTCTTGGCTGAAACACCTCTGCAGCATCACGTGGCAGTCAGGTACAGTACCTCTGGACTGGAAGACAGGGGTGGTGGTCCCTTTTTTTAAGAAGGGAAAGTCTATAGATACAGTCGGTTGGTCTGGGAACGCCCCCGGGAACGCCCCGTCACGTGGTGTGAATTTAGCCCGTGGGGGAAAACATTGCCTTGGCGCTCATTGAAATACATAGGACAATCATGCCGAAGAGTTGCTGTGTCGTTTTCTGTACCACCAATAAACTAACAAATTATAAATTGAAGTTCTACAGCCTTTCTTACATACATACAGAACCGGATAGGAGGACAAAATAGCAAAATTAATCATATCTTATTAGATTACTGTGTGAGTAGAGGTCCCTGTGTGATAGTAGTAGATGTTTAACTCGTATTAGGCAGTGGGCCAGATTTGTCTGACGTTACATCCCTTACGAAAAAGAACTATAGTAATCCTATGGCTATTAGTATTCTATAGTAGTGTATTTCTGTGATGTTCTTTAATACCTCTATACTTCTAGGCTATGTCCCCAAATACTATAGTATTCCTATAGGAATATTAACGTTGCTACAATATTTTGTCCTAAAATACTACAAGATTCCTTTAGTTGTTTTTCATAAGGGATGTCTCAGTCACATTAGCGTTATCAGCTGAAGGTTATCAGACTGTGTGAGAATTCGGATAACTGTCAGCAAAGTCCCTCTGCAATTTCGTTGCTAACTACTGATCACCGTTTTACAAAAGGATTAATAGTTTGGAGTGAAGCATACGTACAATTGGTAAGTGACATGGTTTTATGGACTTATAGTAACTTCGCAAGTCGATTGAGTAATAGGCTTGTGTTGCCGTTAGCTTCCGCGATGTCCTGAAGATTCAACCATAATAGTCTGGAAACGACACCTCAGGCCATTTGGTTGGGTCATTGACCCAGTTTTTAATTAAATAAGGGCAATCATAACCTATTACAGTTAATTTTGCAATGTACCGTTGCCGGTCGACAGGCATAAATGACTCGCAATATGGCATTTTTGTCATTCAAATACAGGATGGTCGCGCTGCTTTCCCCCACGCCGACCACGCCCCCCAAGTATGACGCGTTGCCGACTGTATGTATAGACCTTATGTAGCCCCGCCCCTTTTCAGCACTGCGCTCGTTGTCTTGACTTCCGGTCTGTATTTTCACAGCGATCTTGCATAGGTAAGTATGAATGAACTGCTCGTAAAAAAATTCCCGGTCGACATTTGTTAAGCTAACTTTTGTTAACTCTACAATAAGTAAATCTACTTTACCAGCTAATTACTCCTCGACAGCGATGCCATAGAGATATACAGAGCGACCGCAAAAACGGAAGTTCAAAGACAATATTCTAAAGATGACGGAGCCCATGTTTCTCTGGTGCATAAGGTCTATACCAGGGTACTTGAGCGGAGAATTTGGCCGATAGTGGAACTTTGGATTCAAGAGGAACAGTGTGGTTTTCGTCCTAGCCATTGAACACTGGACCAGCTCTATATTCACGGCAGCGCCATCTTTGATTTTTAATGAGAATGAAAGCGAGGCTGTGAGGGATAGACTTGCATCTCTTCAATGGGCTGTATTGTTATTTAATGTGTTTTCGGATTGTTCTGCTCATGAAACACTGGAAAAATATCTTTCTAAGAAATGTCAGTTGACAAAAAACTCCCGACAATGTAAGCTGTGGAAAATTGTAAGTAATCTAGCCGCTTTATTCAGCTTTTTACAGCGGATGCCATTGGAAACACGGTAAGTCTATCCCTCACAGCCTCACTTTCATACCTGTCATGGCGCTGCTCTGAATAAGGTCTATTGGCTACCCTCTCCAGGGTGCTGGAGGGTTCATGGGAGTTTGCCCAACCAATCCACATGTGCTTTGTGGATTTGGAGAAAATTCACTTTAGGGCTGAGAGTGTCTGCTCGACAGAAGCAGTAGACACAAGGACAGTCACCGCAAAACATGACGATGTGTACAGCTGGCTCGCACAGATTTTTGAAGGAAATCAGTGAGCTCAGCGGGACTTTTGCCTTCAAAATCAGTCATGGCAATGGCATACATTACAGTCAGTTCTGATATTACCCGGTCAGATCCCGAAATAGAGTTCTCTGTGACTCTGACTGCCTTGAGCTTGATGGTTTTTATCAAGTACATTTGAAACCATTAATTTGTGGGTCAAAAAACTATGAAATCTACAGGAATATAATTTAGTTTATGCAGTTCACTACAGATGCAGTTAGCTAGCTCAGCCTCTGACTACCAGTAATAGTACGCCCTCTGACCATCCAATCAAAGGACGTTATTGTATGCCTGCTAGATGGCCCCAATGTAGTCAAATCGAAATCCGATTGGCTAATTAAATCTGACTGATTTTATGATTGGTTAAACTTTAAAGCAATTCATTTTCATTTTCAAGTTTCATTGCCATTCATTTAAGTTAGAGGCGCCCGCATTATTGATTCTGAAGACCTCAAAGCAGATTTATTTTGTGATGGCAACACATGATGGCTGAAAAAAACTCTTATATAAAGATCTGAAAGCAGCGCAACCAAGTAAAAAAGCTATGAATTAAAAGAATGGACTATTGGGAATAATTTAATGGAAAAAATAAGTGCCAAGTCAGTGATTCTGATAGTGTTTAGGCCAGCAGAGAAGGCTGGCCCTGACGGCCCACCAATGATTGTAGCAAAGGATTTAGTGTGGGTTTATTGTCTAAATATGTGGTGCTATAAAAACAGTGTAGGCCTAACTTTACTACAAAATGTTAAGAAATCATTTTTTTTTTCTATTGAATGGTCTTTGTGAGTTGCACCCATAAATAAAAATGCAATCTTATTCTGACTCAATGACTGAACTGCAGGTTATCGTTGAGTGATATCCATCTCGAATTGTAGTTTGTGAGTTGAAGGATTTGGACAATAGCTGAAAAATTAATATAATATAAAAAAAGTAGTGAGCCAAATCTACTGAAATCAAATAATCTGCAATGGTTTGTGTTCTCTCACAGTAGCCTACATTCATAAACTCAGTGCTGTTGCATTGCCAGTCAGATGTTTAATGGAAAGTGTCTGTTCTTGTCTGCCTGGGAAATGAAACCAGTGCCGTAAAAGATTTCAAAAAATTTTTAAACAGGGGTTGATTTATTGCCACTCTTTCAAATATGTAAAAAAGCATATCTTGCGCTCCATTCTTCAAATGAATATATTGCTAATATTTTAAGACTCGTTACTCATTTCACTTTGCCTTGATCCCGATGGCCA